GATGCCCAGGTCCCCTGATGGGCTATGTGTTTCCCCGTGGCCTTGGGAACATTCCCTGTGGCCCAGCAATGGGTCCTGGCCCCTGGGGGAGGTACCTGCTCCTCAAGAAGTAAAGGCTCCACTGGGTGTGGTGGCTCACACCTGACTGCCAAAGCTGGAGAGGCTGAGGCAGGAGGATCAATGCGACTTTGAGGCTGGTCTGAACTACATAGCAAGACTCTTTAAAAAAGAAAAAAAAAAGGATCTGAGAAGTCTCGTAGGAAATACCAGTGATTAGTCATCCCTTCGGTCACACCATCCTGGTTTGTCCCCTTGCTGTGGTCCATCGTCCCCTAAAAGCCTATTATTGGTGTTGGAGCTACCAGAATAAAAATCTCCATGAGCCCGGCCTGCCAAGAGGCACCACCTTCAGCAGTGCCAGTCCTAGGAGCAGCAGAGCTATGGCGCAGACCCCACCAGCTAAGCAGAAGCCAGGGCTGGCTAGCCTTTGGAGGAAATCAGCAACACTTCGGGCCTGTCCCTCCTGGGGCCAGTTGTGTCCTCATCCCAGTGTGCTGAGACCCTCTTTGTCTCAGGGAGGCCCTGTAAGCTCAGCCAGCACAGGTGAAGTAGGAAGTAGGGAAGCGGAGGCTGTCAGGTCTGGAAATCTTGCTTCGGACCAGGACAGCCACCCAGGCTGGGCCAGCCGCTCCTAGCCTCTCCCCTCATTGGATGGCTCTTGCCTTCCTGGGAGTCTCAGGTTCTGCAGCCTGCACAGGGGAAAAGGGGTGAGAGGAGGGGTGAGGAGGCTGGGTGGCAGGGTGTGCTGTCCCCAGCCTGTACCCAGTGATAGCTGGTCCCACCAGAAGAGGAGAAAATCCAGAACCATGTCCCTGACACTGTCCCCTACCCTGCCATAGGAACTGAGTCACTCAGTATGTGCTCCCTGAGGACCTACTGTGTGCTGGAGATGTAGCAGCTCATCATGAAGAGAGGAGAGAAGGGATAAGAAGCTAGGGGTAGTAAGGACAGGCCTCAGGTGATGCCAAAAACAGCATGGGGTCAAGTCAGGGGATATCTGAGAGGGGAGATTTCCCAGTGACAAAGCAGCATGTGCAAAGTTCCTGCAGCAGGCACCTGAGGAAGGGGCAGGTGGGAAAGTCTTGCTTTACTCTTGAAGGAGGTGGAGCTGTGAGCCTGATCTCACCCCATGACAGACTTGTGTTGAGGATGTGGTGGGACCTGGGGGTCAGGGTCACCCTGGAAGGCCCTGGGGAAATCTGGCCCAGAAAGGACAGTGACTGGCCCAGGGGTGCTAAAGCGATGGTGTGTGTGTTGGCTAACTTTCCCACCTCTAGGGAAGTGTGGTGGCAAGAGCTCGGGGACAGAGACAGTGGCCTATGTGGGGACATGGGGACTGAGTTTGGAGCTCAGCTTGAGGACACTGGACCTAAGTTTCCCAGAGCCACCAGGGATGCGCTGGGCACAGGAATCCACTTGAGAGTGGCAAGCTATGGGCACAGGGGTGGGTCTGCAATATGAATTCAGTGTCCCAGGGCACAGAGTCATAAGGGAAATCAGGGCAGAGGAGGAGGTACTGCTCAGCTCAGCCAGAACCGTGGTCTGTGTTGTGGGAGGGGGTGACCTTGGCCTAGGACTCTAGGACAGCAGGGATGAGGACAAGCAGCTGCTCTGGGCATCTGAGACAAAGGTGCAGGTGCTAGGGAAGGGATAGCTTTGTGTCCTGTCCCATGGGAAACACTGCCTGTCTGTGAGCAGGGAGCTGAGGGAGGTGGCACTGTGTTCAGTGACAAGGACAGGCTCAGTGCCCAGCAAGGCCACAGGAGTAGGTGGAGCCTATGGCCATGCAGAGATGAGGACACAGGATGGGCACCCCCACCTAGGGTCTTGGCTCTGGGTGAGGGAAGTGGATTTTGGCAGGACACGTTCATGTGGCACAGCTGCCCCCAGGCCAACAGGCAGAGGACCAAGACGCCCCTAAGGCCTGCTCTGAAGGCATCTGGAACAGAGGGTGAGGGGGTGAACCTCCAGGAGGCAGTGCGCACATGCAGGTCTCTCAGCTCCCAGCCTATTATGGGGGACAAGGACCTCCTGGGGGACACCACCGGTGGGGTGGGAATGAGAACCTGGGTTCAGTTTCCCTTCCCAAATATTCTTGTCCAGACAATGGGGGACAGTGGACAGTGGTAGAGGTAGTCAGCTCCTGGGACACTCACAGGAGCGTTGCCTCTAGGGCTGAGCAGGACATGACCTTCAAACTGTGCGCCTTCCTTTGAGAGCCTCTCACCACTCCCAGGCTACTAGAGAGCCTGGTTCTGCACAGTGGACCTGGCCTGCCCCTCCTCCAGCTCCTAGAGCCTTACCTGTGAACAGGGAGGTCACTAACCAGGTGGAAAGTGTGGGTGCTCAGGGACCCACAGGGCACAGGGTATCAAGGTAGATGGTGCTATGCTGGGGGAGGGTGTGGGTGGGAAGATGTCACTTGAGTTTTATAATGATGTCCCTCGCAGGCATAACAAGCCAATCAGTGCAGGCCTTGCTTTTCTCTTTTGGTAGTTTCTCATTTTTTTTTTTTTTTTTACAATAAATAAGAACTATTTTGTTCATGGGAAAAGTTCCTACTATTCTTCCCAGCAATCTCTGTCTCCATGTTTGTCTCCTAGCCTATCTTGTCTATTTCTTGGTCTCTATCTCTATCTCTCTCATGTCTGTCTGTCTTTCTGTCTCTCTCTTTGTCTCTATCTCTGTCTCTCCTTTGACTGAATCATCACTCTCTAGAGTGCCTGAGGTCTAGAACCCCATCCTGGTCCCTGGAGCCTGTTCCTGTCCCTCATCCTGGCCTCAGGTGTGAGCATAATACACTCTACTTTTTTTTTTTTTTTTTTTTGCAGAACCAGGGATTGAACTCAGGCCCTTGTGCTTGCCAAGGAAGCGCTTATTCTACTGAGCCATCTCCCCGACCCCAATACACTCTACTTATTAAGCACCTACTGTGTGCCTGGCCATGGGGAACCTTGCCCAGAGAGGCTGTGGTCTCCATACAGACAAGGAAACTGAGCTGAGGCCAGGACATTCATACAGGAAGGTGATGGGTTCCAGGCCCTTCTTTACATCAAGCCACTCCCCATGTGGGGCCACCTGTGCTATTGAACCCAGATGAGGTGCTGGCCTGGTAGAAGACGGGTGGAATAAGATTTCTCAAGGAGCCGGTTTGGGCCAGAATTGCAGCCAGTTCTAGGAATGAGTGTGGCTGAGAGTTCAGGCCAGGACCCCTGGTGATGGCTGGGGAATGTGGCCACCAATGCTGTCCTACACAGAGTCTACCCCAACTCTGCCTTTTCCCTCAGTGGTCCCAGAGGATCCAGGCCTAAGGATGCAGGTATTAGGGGCAGACTCACAAGGAGGGGTGGGGTTCTCTCAAGGTCAGATGGGGGTGTGGTTCCAGGGAGAAGCAGAATGTGACCAGAAAGATTTTGGTGAGCCCTGAGGGGCTTGGTGGGGTCCTGGAGATTGTGCAGTGCAGCGGTATCGGTATCAGGCCAGAGGCCAGGAGCTCTAGGCAGGGTGTGGCGAGGAGAGGCAGTTAAGAGCCTGATAAGGAGCTTAGACTTTATTCAGAGGGGCCAGATTGGGGGCTGCTCAGACTGGCTGCCAGATGGGGAGCAGGAACCTGGCCCTGTGGGTTTTGTGGAGGGTGGCAGTGGTGGGCAGGGGCTTGGGGTACACAGGTTGGGTGTCTTGGCTCTTGGCTTGGGGAACCTGGAAAGACATGCTACACAGGGTGCTGGGAGACAGCCCACAAATGCCACCCCCAGGCACTGTTGTTAGGGGAGGTCCTTGGAGACTGATGGTAGGGTGGGCTGTCCATGTAACTGTCCTCCTGGGAAACAGGACCTACCACACCCACATGGGCCCTGTTCTACCCTGTTCCTCCCCTACCTCAACTTCCTGGTCCTCACCAGCTTTTCCGGTTCTCCTAACTGTTGCCTGGAGGGTCAAGAAAAAGTAGTTCCAGGACCAGCCCTGCTAAACTGGCATTGCCAGGTGTGCCTTTTCTGACTGCAGGACAGTCACTTTAGCTGGGTAGGGCCAGGGTAACAATCCCAGGTCACTGGGTGGCCCATGTCCAGGAGCTGCTTGCATGTACCTTGCTTGGGACAGGGAGCGCCCCATCTACACAGGCACCACCAGGCCGTCCTCCTTCAGGCGTCAGATGTGGCTTGGGGTCAGAAGACCTCAGCATCCGCTCCTTCCCTTGGGCACAAAGAAGCTGCCCTGGCTCTGTGTTAGGGGTGGAGTTTGGGAAGACACTTCTGTCCTAGGGGCCCTGCCTAGACAAGCCCTGGGGCCCCGGCAGGGCCAGTAATCTCACATTTCTATCAGTCCAGTCCGCAAGGCCACAGACAGTGTTACCGCAGAACTCTGGAGGGGCACTGTGGGCCTGCCTGGGTCACTTCCTTAACTGCTATATTGGAAACTAAGAGTAGACACCTGGGAAGCAGAGGTAACAGGAAGTCCTGGGACGTCCTCACCCTGCTGGTCTCAGTTTCTTTTTTGCCAACGCCCGAAGTGACCAGGTAAGCAGAGAAGCAGCAGAAGTGCTCGGAACACCCTGAAACAAGGTGCCTCCTGCTCTTCAGAAGCTCCATTGGGCTCCACTCTGTTTCTCCATTTGCCAGCAGGCGTTTCCCTCCCACTTCTCCTTGGAGGACCCCGTAGGGTGCGGGGAGGTGGGGCATTACAAAGAAAGGAGAGCCGAAGCCCCTCCTCCGCAGGTTGCCCCTCACCTCCCCACTCCGAAGGCGGTGGGCGTGTCCCGGGCAGGGGCAGGACCGGGCAGCCCGATACAGGCCTATGTGCAGCCCGAGTGGTGCGGGGGCGGGGCCCTGTGATCCAGGGTCTGGGGGCGGGAGCTTTTCGTGGGCGGGACTTGCATGCAGCGGGCTTGAAGGAGGCGTGGTCCTTGGGGGGCGGGATCGACGGCGGCTTCAAGCTCAGAGTCCGGCTGCACGGGCCGCACTCCTGGTTTCAGCGGTCGCTGTATTCGGTCCGCCGGCCCGCTGGCCCGCCGCTGGCAGTGCCCAGTCTCTCCGTGTTTCTCCGGCTGGACCAGTGTGGGGTGCGCCCCGCCGCCCGCATGGCTGCCATCAAGGCTCTACAGCAGTGGTGCCGGCAGCAGTGTGAGGGATACCGGGATGTGGACATTACCAACATGACCACCTCGTTCCGCGACGGCCTAGCCTTCTGCGCTATCCTGCACCGCCACCGGCCCGATCTCATGTGAGTGCCTTGTGCCTCGCCTGCTCCCTTTGACCTTGCCACGTGGTGCCCACACATTTGGGGCAACTGAGACTTAGGGCACAATCAGAACTTGGGGACACTGCTCAAAGCCTGGTAGAGCAGCGTGCCCTCGTGTGCAGCTTTCCCAGGGCTTCAGGGTGCTGTACACTGAGTGTAGCTGGGCTGTGGCTGGAGGTGGTGTCCTCTCAGGCTTAGTCAGTGGTGACTCAGGCAGTGCCCTGGTTCCTGGGAAAGGGCAGACAGAGCTGCCCTGTAGGCCCTGGAGACCCCATGATGCTCTGGGGTCTGGCCACAAGACTGGGTCCCTGAGGGTATCCACTGTGGAGACTACCCCTTCCTGACCTGCCCAGGAACCTTGGGAAATTCAGGATTACTGAGGAAAGTGGCAGTCAATGCATTGAGCCCCCATATACCAGGTGCTGCGCTTAGGGTGATAGGAGATGAGATACAGCTGCAGGAGGTGGCATGGGCTGGGGGCTGGGCCCTCTGGTCTGGTGGGCCTTTGACATGGGTGGCTGTGCCCTACCTTGATGCCAAATATTGACCCAAGTCTGAATCTGTTGCATCTGTGTCCTTTGGCTGAATGACTGGGACCTAGCTCTCCAGGACAGATTCTAACCTGGACTGGTGCATAGGATGCATAGGAAGGGGGCCCCCAGAAGGCCACTGCAGCCCAGATACCTTCTGGGGAAAGCGCTCTCCTGAGAAGCGGTGGCAGCCGGGGCTGGGGTAGAGTGTGTTTGCTGAAGGGGTCTTGACAGTGGGAGAAGAGAAAGACAGCACTGTCTTCAGGCCCCTTGCTGTGCAGACAGGGAAACCTGTGAGATCCAGCCAAAAAATCCTTATTCGGGTGGGGCTGAGTCAGGGTCAGAATCTGGCTCTTCCCGGTACCAAGCTCTGTTTCCTACTGGGAAGTTAGAGTCTTGAGCAAGAGCCCTGGGCTCCTGACCCAGGTTGTGAAATGAATTTGTGGAGCCACCAAACTGTGTGTGTGTGTGTGTGCGTGCGCGCACGTGCGTGTGTGTGTTTTCACATGGTCTTTGGGCAGTGGCCTCGGCTCCTTGCTGCTACACCCTCTGCTGGCTCTCCAGGGCAGGCAGTGGAGCAACATGTGCTGCCATATCAAAGGCAGGAAGCTGGTCTTTGATGGACGATGGCCTTGGGGTGGGATGGCTGGGGAAGGACCTAGAGTGGGCAATCTAGCGGCTGGGTTCCCTGGAGTGCAGGGTCCAGGGTGCAGCTGGCAGGTCAATTCTTCAGGCAACCCAGAAGAAGCTAGTATGACAAATCTTAAAGTAGACAGGAAGATGGTGCTTCTGCCTGATGGCCCTGTAGCCTGGGGCGGGTGTCACTGGACATAGGAGGCCTTTCCTGCCTGCGAGAGCTTCCGTCTACTCATAGCTGCATGCATGTGTCTGGCCAGGCACACACTACCCACAGGGGGCAGAGGTATGCTGGTGTGTGTAAGTGTGTGCTCAGTGCTGGCATAGGCAGGCTCGTGTATCTGAGCTGTTCGCTTAACTGACAGTTCTGGAATATCTGCTCTGTAAGGTACATGAGCCTAGTCCCACAGATGCAGAGTAACCTTGTAAGTGTTAAAGACCACTCTGGAAAGGCTAGGGGCCGAGACAGGAAGGAGACTGGAAGAAGAGGTGACTGGCCACAGTTATGCATGGGATGGAGTTATCTTGTTGACTTTCTGGCTGGTTGTCCCCAATGCTGGGGTAGCTCTTACTCATCCATGCCTTGAACTCTGTTAAGTGGGTATTTGTGCGCAGTTGGGGCTTCACAGATAAGAGCACAAAGGTAGAGCTCAGTAGATGTGGTAGGAGCTCTGTGGGTGCTTGTGTGCCGTAGGGAGGAGAGGAGACCGTACAACCAAGAAACAGAGATGGGCCCACAATACTTCTGGAACCATGAGAGGCTGGAGGCAGGACCCTCCCCTGGCCACTTACATTAGATGTTGGACCCATGGTCTCCAGACTGCCAGGAAATAAGGTCCTGTGTGACACCTCTGTTTATGGCACTGCAGTGATGGGATGGGTGACAGGATTGAGCAGGGGTCAGGATGCAGTGGGGGTGACCTGAGTTTGACTTGGGTACCTATGTTCCTGCATCTGAGGCTGAAACACCAGTATCTATTAGTCTCTGCTAATGCCTCCTGCCTTGGCATAGATCCTGTCATCCTCACTATGAAGCCCTAAGCTGTCTGTCCTCTTGCACCTACTGACCACCAGGGAATGTGGAGGGGCAGCCTGAGGCCAGACTGCCTGAGACCTTGACTATACTCTCGTCCTCCCGTTCTTCCCCTGAAGCCCCCCAGGCAGCAGGAAGGTTGACATCCTGTCTCTGTGTCCTTAGCTTTGCCACCAGGAAGTCCTTCTCTTTGTCTGACCTCAGTTCTTCCTGCTGCGTGCTGAGTGTGTTTCCTCTGCCTTCAGCAGAGGGCAGCTGTGAGGGACCAGGCACCGGGCATGGAGCCAGCCAGGTGGGGTGCCTGGGCTCCCGACTCTGCCTACGGCCTGTGTCCTGCTCCTCCCACACAGGTGGCCTCTGGGCACCAGTAGGAGTGTGTTTCCCCTTCCAGGTCAGATGGGCCCATGTAGTGCCACCCACGGGGAGGTGACCCTAGGGGTCTGGCCTTTGCCCAGAGCTTCTTTTCTTGGGCAGTTCTTGGTGCAGTCAAAAGCCCATTTCTGCCATGACCAGCCTGTGTCTGCAGCCTGCTGCCAGGTGAGCCTGGCTCAGACCTCGCCCTTCCGGCTCCAGGGCAGAACCACCGCCCGTGTGACCTGACGTCTTCCCAGCTGGCTGGGCCAGGAGCCCAAGACCGGCCAGATCACAAAGGAGATTGGTGGAAACCTGTGGGCCTCTTACTCAGAGAGATCTACAGGAGCCCCAGGGGAGCTGTCACGAGGTTGAGTTCTGCAGACTCCCCACTCCTCAGTGGCATGGTGGGGAGACTAGAACTTCTTCAAGGCCCCTTTAGCTCTGACAGGCTGAGACCAGGTGGCTTGCACAGAGCCCTAAGCAGTGGCCTGCTGGCCCTGGGCAGGGCTCATGGAGGCTCCCCAGGCTGGAGACTGGCACTGTGAGGCTGGGGAGAGACTCCTCAGGAGACCTTAGTGCAGGGCCTCCTTCCCTTCCAGGCTGGAGCCAGGGGTGGCTGGGTGAAGCCGGGTTGACCTCCTCCCACACAGGCCCTGCGGTCAGCAGGAAGCTGCCTGGGGACAGAGGCTTTCTGTTCTTGCCTGAGGGCTGCTGCCCAGACCCCTGCTGTGCCTGGCCAGAACTTTCCAGGGTGGCTGGGAGGGGGCTGCTCCCCGTTCCCAGAAAGGGCACCACTTGGCTCCCAGAGCCCCAGCCTGCTCTGCCTGGCCTCCTTCTTGCCTCTCCTGCCCTGCCAGGGCTGCTCTGTGCTACTGTCTTGGTGTCTCTCTCCATTCCACTGCCCTCTCTGGGTCTCTGTCTGTCCCCTCACTGCCAGTTTCCTGGTGGGATTGGTTCCAGATGGGCTGGAGGTGCCTGGGAAAATCCCACAGAGGTGCTTTCCCTTCACAACCCAGGGGTTCACCGTAGTGTGGCTGTATTAGTTACAGGAAGTAAACACTGTGAGGTCAGCCAGTTGGGATTTGGAAGGGGGAATACATTCCCCAGAGCCCCAGGGGACGGAGGCCGGCTCCCCACATTGTGGCCCAAGGGAGACAGCCAAAGGAGGGGCTGGAGGGGCCTGGCTGCTTGCTCCTCAAGAAGCCTCAGTGGGCCTGTGGTGGCAGATGACTGACCAGCTGACCATTGTTGGACTGACCTATAGGCCTCTTGATTCCATTCTGCTAGTGCTATAAGAGTAAGCCGATGCTGCAGACACCTTACACAGCAAAGGCTGCACGATGCATTTATCAACAAGCACAAACTGAACGCTAATCATGTGCTTTGACCCATGGCGGGTGCCTTGGGTTGAACTGGAGCTCATTCAGGAGGGTGTCTCGGGTCTGGCTCCACTACTCTACAGGGGGATGGGCTGGGACCTGCTCTTTCGTGCTTCTAGGCTCTAGGGATGCTTCCCTGGTGTCTACGGTTTACTGCTCTGTGCCAGCGAAGCTGATGCTTTTGTCTTGAGACCTTAAAGTCAAGCTGGCTGCCTTCCCTGGCTCAGCTCAAGTCATTCCTTCTACTGTGATGAAATGTCCCAAAGTGGTACCCCATAAATGAATTCCCTTGAGGTTCTGGAGGCTAGAGGTCCAAGTTAGCCTCACTGGAATATCAGTGGGGCTGATTCCTGCTGGGGCTGTGAGGAGGCCCTTTTTAGTCTCTTTCCAGCGAGCACCATCGTCCCTTGGGGTCCTCATGTCCTCCACTCTATCCACATTTCCCTATTTGAGGAGCACAAGTCAGACTGAATGAGGGCCATTTTAACTTGAACACTCTGTGACCAACACCCCCTCTCTGAATATGGTCACATTTGGAACTACTGTGGCTTGGCTCCAAGGTCACTTTTTGGAGAGGAGCATAATTCAGCCCCAAATGTCAGTGACCTCCCTGCTGGCAGAAAGCTGGCCTTGTGGGGTCCCTGCTTGCCAGAGGGGTGGGGGGTGGGGGGGTGATGCTTGCAAGGAGCTCTGACCAGGCACTTTCCAAAGAAGCTTGTCTCAGAGCTTAGCTTCTTGGGACTTCATCTTGGGCTCTGGAGACTCAAGCTCAGCAGAGCTGGGAAAGAGTGTTCAGGCTGAGGCTTAGGAAGGTCCTCTAGGGGTGTTGAAGCCTGGGAACTAGCTAGGGTGCCCCGCCCCACTTGTGGACCTCCCTACTGGCCCCAGGAAGCAGTTTGGACTTGGTCCTGAGTCCAGCAGCTACTGTAATTTGCAGCCAGGCCCTGTGTACCACGATCCTGCTCAGAGTGTCACTGTTGCAACCCCAGAGGTGAGCCTGGAAGGCTTGGGGCACCCTGGTCTGCCTGGAGCCGGGGTCAGGGTGGGGGTGATGGGATGGCCCTATGCAGGGAGCCACTCCTCCTTCCCCTGCTTTGTTTAGAGACAAAACAGCTTGTGCTCCTGCTCCCTGCTCCCAGCCAGCCTTCTTGTGGGGCTGGGGACACGGGGTACATGTTTCAGTGACCTGGCATGGGAAGAACTGAACTAGAACTCTCAGCTTTCCAAGGGGCAGGGGGCAGGAGGAAGGGCGAATGTGCTCATGGGCCCCACAGTCTGAATACAAATCATCAGTGGGCTGAAGACTTAGGCTCTTTGGGTGCAGACTGGCCACTCCAGGGTTACACCACTTCTGAGAACAGACCCAGTGGAAGAGGCTGCTCAGGCCTGTGGGTACTGAAACATGGTCCTCTCTTGCCTGGTGGTCTAGCCTTGGTCATGTGCAGAGGTACCTATACCTTCAGGGTGATTTTGGCATCTGGTACACATTATCTGGAAGGTGGTTACAGCCAGAAGTATGGGAGCCCCAGGAGAGGCAAAGGAAGGAGGTAGGCAAACTGCAGCCTCCCCAGCCAAGTGGCCCGTTTGTTCATCTGCAAAATGGGCTTTCAGTGTGGGCTAAAGGTCATGATAGAGACAGGGCCGAGCTAGCTTGCCCTCTACTGGCAGATTGGGCCCAGAGCCAGGCCATTTTAGGCCGAGTGGCCACAGGCGGTCAGCTCCAGCCCTCCTTGTTGGAGACCTGCCCAGTCTTCCGGGTTTCTGTTAGTCGGCTGAGAAGAGGGCTGCAGGGTTAATGTCAAGGCCAGCAGGACACGACTCTTGGCTGGGCCCCCTCCTGTGCAGGGGGACTTTCTGGGACAGGCTGGGTCATGGACGTGGCAGTTGCTGCTGCTCAGACCAGAGGATGATGTGTGAAGGACAGACAGCTCCCTGGTTGGCACCTTCTGTGGGTGCTGTGCAGGCTGGGGCTGCCTAAGAGAGCCCCCACCGTGTCTTGCAGAGTGTCCCTGGAGGCCCATGTTGGAGCGTGTGCTCCTGGCCCTTACTGCAGTGGTTTCTCCCATTCCTGCACTCCTGTGGCCCTGTACACGGTTCCAGCACCCTCTCCTCTGAGACCCAGCCCTCCCTGGGATGAGGCTGGTACCTGGTGGGTACTTAGGATGGCATTATTGGAGGGAACAGTGGGGCCACGAATGCCTGGACTTGGAGCTGTAGTGTGACTGGGCCTCACATCTGCCATGTGACCTGGGCATGTCCCTCAGTGACCAGTGTCCTTGCCACAGGATGGTGTGGTGGTGAAGGTGGGAATTTAAGAAAAGCTGATGACACCAGGAGGCCCCATGAGAATAAAAGGGAAAGCAGAACCCAGAGGTGGGCTGTGTGGCTACCGGCTGGCCAGATCCTTGTCCACATGATGACTCTGTTCCCACCCTGGGAGCCTTTCATGTCCCACCATTGTGCCCTCAGAGCATTGGCCTGTCTGAACTACCAGATCACTGAGCTCCCTGTTGGAATTAGCCTACTCTGAGCAGTGTCCTTGCTGGGCCACCCTGTGCTGGTGGCTTTGCCTTTCTGGGCCCAACTGGGGCAGGTGTGATGGGCAAGGCCCCAGCCCTGCCAGGGCTAGATGTGGAGGCTGAGCTCTGAGAACCCTTGTGGGCTCTCTGGACCTGGGCACGGGGTCCTGGGTGTCACGCAGCATTGCTGTGGCCAGAGGTGACCAGGAGCCCAGCCAGCAACCAGCCTGCCTTCTTGGAGGCATCGTTCATTCACAGCCCTCACTCCTAGCCTCAGTTTCCCCATTTGGGCAGGATGACCCTATTAGGAAAAAGGAAAAGGAAAAGTTTATTTCAGAACAAACCTGAGAAGGGCCTCTCTGGCACTAGAGCCCTGATCAGTCACCCTTGAACGAGCTGTGAGGTCTTCATAGGGCCAGGAGCATAAAAATTGGGCTGTGGGAGGGAAAGGCACAATGGGACTTTTGTGGGGGCGTGTCCAGTACAGAGGAGCTGTGGCTTTCTGTCCAGGAGAAGATTTGAAAATGGACAAGAAGTTGCATGTTGTTTGTCAAGAGCAGGGCTGCGGCCAGGGTTGTAGCTCAGTGGCACAGCACCTGCCTGGCAAGTGTGAGGCCCTGCATTTGATTCCCAGTACACACAAAAAAGCAAGGTTGAATAATAACTGGGAATTATAGAGTGTAGTTGTGTTCACTGGGCCTTATTGCCTGTCACCATGGAGCTGCAGCAAGAAAGTAGTCTCTGCTCAGACCAGGATGGTGGCGGGCAGATCCTTCGGATTCCTGAAGGCCCCACACACCTCTGCTGTCTTGGATTCTGTGCTGCTCTCAACACAAGTGTTTTTATCTTCCAGAAACTACAGTGCCCTCCGGAAGGAAAACGTTTATGAAAACAACAAACTTGTAAGTCCCTTGGACACCAGCCCCAGTACCACCTCCATCCTCCCTACCCTGCTCCAGCCTCAGAGCTGGCCCATGGCAGGTGCCGCCAGGCCTGGGATGGGGGGAGGCTTGAGGCTGTGCAGGAGTCCTGCCAGGGGTCTGTGCCTTGACTAGCCCCTCTGCAGGTGACCTGTCCTGATCTGGGACCCTGGTGTTCTGGGAGCAGCCTTGGTCTTGGTGCTCCACCCTGCCCATCCCCTCTCTTCCTCAGTGAGGGTGTGAGGGGCAGGGAGTGGCCTCTCCCTGTGGGTGGCCTGGCTTGGTCCTTCCAGGGCAGAGTGAAGTCCTGGAGGCTATGGGAGGCAGAAGCATGGTCCTGGGTGGGCTGGCTGCTGCCCCCAGGCCATAGGTGCCAGCCTTCCTCACCCCATGGAGTCAGAGCCTACCCTGCACCCTCTCCCTGTGAGACCCTCTCTGCAAACTGAACTCTTCTCCCTTCACCCTGGGCTGAGGAGAAGCGGCATCCTCTCATCCTGCTCTGAGCCAAGCCTGGCACAGTCATGCCAGGGGTAGCAGGCTGCAGCCATGAGAGAGTCAAACCTGCCCAGCCACTGTGGTCTCCACAGCTTGTTTAGAATGATATACCATTAGGATTTAGCTCCTTAGGTGTCCTGGCCACATTTCAAAAGCTCATAGCTGAGTGTGGCAGGTAGCTGCCGCATCTAGCCACATTGGAGGACTTAGAACCATGGAGAGCAGTGAGGGAAAGAAAGGGCCAGCAGGCCAGGGGTGGCCTCCCTGTAGGAGTGCCAGGGACAGCAATAGGAAGAGTGACCCAGGCAGGTGGAACCACTGGGGCAGAGGCCCTTGGCTGGAGGGTACCTGGCTGGACAGCAGAGAGGCCCAAATAGGTAGAGAGAAGCAAGACTTGGGCAGGGTATGGCACCGGACAGACTTTGGTTTAAGCTGGTGGCCAGGGACCAAGGAGGTGGGAGTAGATGGCTGTGGCCACTGCTGAGGGGGCCCGTCCTGGAGTATAATGGAGGGATCAGAGGCTCTTTGAGGTCTTTGGTCCAAGTGTGATGGGCAACCCCACTGGACTGCAGGTCCAGGGGCAGTTTGGGCTCTGCACAGAGCCCTGCCATCCATGGGGATGGAGCCTGGAGTGTGGGGAAGCTGTGGAGGGCTGCAAGGGAGGCCAGTGAAGGGTGGAACCTGAGGCTTCCCAGTGTCCTGGCCCCAGAGCAGCTGCGCCCAGGGGTTCTTGGAGCATTTCTACCCTATATGTGGTGGCTTGGAGCCAGCTGGAGTAGGCGGGAGCCATCTGCAGCCTCAGCTGGGGAGGGTCTCTAAGTGAGCCTGAGGTGGGGGGAAGGCCTAGGGTATGTGAGGGGACATGGGTGGTCTCAGAAAAACCAGGAGAGGGAGGAGAGTGGATGGTGAAGGAAGGGTGCTGGGCCGAGTGTGCCATACCTGGTGTGTACTTGGTGCAGTCAGGGCAGGAGGCCTGGCCTGCCCAGCCTTTCACAGGACTCCTAGGCTCAGAATGCCGGGTCCCTGCTTAGCTCAGGGTCTGGGTAGGTGGGGCTCAGGCTTCCGGGGCAGCTAGGGGCCGTCTCCAGGGTAATTTGTCCTTAGGGGAGGACCCCATGAGGAGCCCCTGGGCTGCCACCCTGAGTACTATCAGTCCCTCCTGGTGGGCCTAGCAAGGAGCGAGCCAAGCCCAGGGCAGCCACTAGGAGACCAGGGCACCTCCTGATGGGCCCTTGGCTCTGCTCCCTGCTGACTTCCGCCTCTACCCTCCCCAGGCCTTCTGTGTGGCAGAGGAGCAGCTGGGCATCCCTGCCCTGCTGGATGCTGAGGACATGGTGGCCCTGAAGGTGCCCGACCGGCTGAGCATCCTGACCTATGTGTCACAGTACTACAACTACTTCCATGGCCGCTCACCCAGTGAGTCCTGGCCTCTGAGTGGGGTATGGGGCTCCCCTCTTGGGAGTATGGCCCTGGGGGTAGGTGGCTGCTGTGCATTTGCCCGATGAGCACAGGAAACAGCCTTTGTGGGTCATGTGACTTGAGACCCCTGGGGCAGTGTCTCCTGCAGGTGCCTAGGTCCCGACTTCCCAGTCCCTGGTGTGTCTACTGGGGCTGGCTGGGCATGCTTCTGCCCACCCTCCTTCTCAGCCACACAGGGCTGCCTTTGGCTCTGGTCTCTCCATCCGGCAGGGCCTTCATTTGCCCATTTGAACCCCTGAGCTCTGGTGCCCATTGCTGGGCAGTTCCAGGGACCCTGTGTGATCCCCAGCTTGGCCACGTCTGGTGCTGCCTTTGGCACTGGGAACCAGCTGGTGCAATAGGGTTGGGCTGGGGCTGCAGGCAAGGCCTTGCCTTTTCCTAGCCTTTGTGTGAGGAGCTGCTCAGCCCTCCCCACCCCCTCATCCCTCCCCTAAGCTTTAGAAATCCCCGGAATCTTTCTGGGCGTAGTTCCAGGCCTGCCTGATGGAGAAACAGAAAAGTCCCTTTTCCCTGACTCCAGATTGGGGTTGCCATTGGGGGGCTGGCTAGGCTTGGTACCCCAGGTTGCTGCTCCCCACCTTGCCCCCATTAGGACCCCTGAGAGGGCCATACCCCCCCCCCGGGCCACCCTGACTTGGGTATAGGCCCTCACAGAGCTGGGTGCTGCTTGGGCCAACCCTCCTAACTCCATGTGTTTCCTGTCAGTTGGGGGCATGGCTGGTATAAAGAGGCCTCCATCAGACGCTGAGGAGGAATCTTCTGGGAAGAAAGCCCCATCCGTGCCGGCCAAGTTGCCCATGTCTACTCCAGCTCAGGCGCTGCCTCCGTCTGCAGCCAGGACAAGCTCTGTGGTCCAGAGGACAAGCGGGAGCCCTAAGGCTGTAAGCACCCCTGCCCCTGCCCTTCCTCTGCTCTTGTTGAGTAGGCCCTGCAGGATCGTGTGCAGCCCTTACACTGCTGGGCAGGTGGGGCGGGTCCTGGGGGTGCAGGACAGATCCCGCTGCTGTTTGTCATTAGCCCACGGGGTTGGCTCCCTGAGTTCCTTAATCTGTAACAACCATGGTGCTCATTGTAAAGATGGGTAAATTGAGGCCAGGCAGGCTGTGTGGGTGGAGTTGCTCAAACTCAGACCTTTGTGGGTTCTCAGCGGGCTTACTGCCTCCTCCTGGGATGAGAGGGGTGCTGCATTGGTCCTTTATTCCCAGTCAACCTCAGTATGCTTTGGCTTTCACCTCTCAGAGGTAGAGACCAGGAGGGCGCTGGAGCTTGGACGCCCCCTGCTGTCACCAGGCAGCTACTCCAGGCTCTAGCTCCCTCACTGTGGCTATTCTAGGCCCCACACTCTTCCCAGGTCCAGACTGGAGCTCCAGACTTGGGTCTGGCCTGTCCTCTGCCTCGCTGGTCCTTAAGCCTCAGTTCTCCACTCTGTAAAATGGGGTCTTCAGGTTGACCCTGCTGCATCCTAGCTGAGGTGGGCTGCTGGCACAGTGGGTGACACTCAGCAGTTCCTGGCGTTTTCCCCAGGGCCAGAGGGTGGCAAGCAGTGCAGTCAGCAGCACCTGCGGAGTCTGCGGCAAGCACGTCCACCTGGTCCAGCGGCACCTGGTTGATGGGCGGCTCTACCACCGTAGCTGCTTCAGGTGGGTTCCACCCTTGTTGTGTGCACCTCCTCTGGCTCCCCTATTCTCAGCTGGCTACACCCTCAGCCTGGCCCCAGATGCCCAGCTATTCCCAGATAGCCAGGGTCTGACATTGTCCGGCTAAGTCCTGCGGCCCCTGCCCCTCAGCATCCCCTCAGAAACCTGCCATATCCAACTGTGCTTTTATACCCTGGAGTCACACTGACCCCTCCTGACTGCTGTTGCTCCCAGCTGAAGCACCTTGGAGGGCAGATTCAGGGTCCTCTGCAAAGCTGGGGGGTCAGGACCCAAAGTGAGGCATGGGTGGTCTGTGTGCACATGTGTGTGACTGATTGTGGGTGCGCATGCACATGTGTGATTGTAGGAGGGCACTGTGGGTGCCTGTGTGTCATTGTGCATACATGTGTGTTTGTGTGTGCATGCTTGCATGTGTGTGTACATGCTTGCATGTGTGAATGTGCGTAGATGCATGCCACGTGAGTATACATGTGTGTGATTGCTTGAAAGTGCATGTGTGTGTGAGTGTGCGTGCACATATACATGTTTGTTGACATGCAAGAGTACTTCCTGGTGTGACTGCAACCCTACCAAGGCTCACAAAGCTTACAGCCACGGGAAGAGGTATGTTTGTGGAGTGGATCAGTGACCACGTGAGTGTACAGGAGTGCATCAGTTTGTGCCTGGGCAGTGTGAGGAAAGGTGCAGAGGGGACCCATGGAGGACATGACTGACCAGCCCAGGACTCCCTGCAGGTGTAAGCAGTGCTCCAGCACGCTGCGCTCTGGGGCCTACCGGGCCACTGGGGAACCAGGCAACTTCGTCTGCACCAGCCATCACTCCAAAGCCACCTCGGTGAACGCCACATCGCTGGCCCTGGCTGCCAAACAGCCAGGTGCCACTCCTGTGGACTCAGGGGCTCCCAGCATCTTGCAGAAGTTCCAGGAGATGAATGGGCAGGCAGCAGCAGCAGCAGCGCCAAAGGCCCAGCCAGCGGCTCAGAAGTCTGCAGTGGGCAATGTGACTGCAAAAGGCTTTACTCGGACTACATCTGAGCCCCCAGCCTCCACTTTCTCAGTCCGTGTGGGGAGCCCACCAGGGTCCAGACTGCCTGCGAGCCCAGTGGCCTCCCGCTTGGAGCACAGCACAACTGGCACGCATGTGACCAACAGCGCCCCAGTGGGGTGGACATCATCTACTCGGGGCCCAGTGACAAATAACTCTCAGTCTGCCCCTGGTGTCCCAGAGCCTTGCCCAGCTGTACCCCAAGGCCGGGGGACCTCCCGAGTATCAGCTGCTGTGACCAAGCTTGGCTTGAACTCAGGTTCTCTGGGTGCAGTGGACCCACAAGACTGGACCCCCTCTGCCAGTAGGACCCAGCAGGCCCGGGAGAGGTTCTTCCAGAGCCCTGCTGCTCCCAGCAGTGGCCCTCTGGCCAAGACCCCTTTCCCAGCTGACTCCCCTTCCCGGGACAGCAGCAGGGAGCAGGCGCTGAGCTTTATCAGGAAGGCCCTCTCAGGGGTGGAGGCAGCTGGTACCCAGGTGCCTGGCAGGTAGGTGGAAGAACGGTGTTCAGGGGACGGCTGCTATCTTCTTCCCATTTCTGCCTCCACCATCACCAGGGCCTGTGTCTTTGTTTCTGTCTTTCATGAGGATGCCAGCTTTAGGTTAGGGCAATTGTAGTCCCTCAGGACTGCATCTTCATGTGGTTACATGTGTAAAGCTGTTTCCAGATAAGGTCACACTTCAGTCTTCCCGGGGGATGGGAATTGTGGAGTCTCACCCTACGTTCTAGCACCTGGAACTCTACCTCCTGTGTATACACTCACCCCAAGACACGGTGGCTCAAAGCTTCAGGCCTCAAGTAGTTTAGAACCAAGAAGGCAGGTCAGGTCAGCCCAGGGCTCTGAGTAGGGCTCTGAGGTGCAGTCCCTCTGTGCTGCTGGGCCCTGGCCTCCCGGTGGTGGTTTGGGGCCATTTCCATCTCGGCCAGCACCACAGTTAATAGGTGATCAGGTGCAGGACACATGCAGGTGCCAGAGTGAGTGTCTGTCCTCCCTCAAGTGGACTGTCTGGCCCCTGGAGGGTGGGCCCTACGAGCTGGCTGCAGGTGAGGCTGTGGGGATCCTGCTTAGGAATAATGCTGGGAGGGACTCCTGGGTCCACTCATGCATGGTGCTCGCTTCTCACTACAGGTCCTCCCCTGCTATGAATTCCTGTCCCAAAACCGAACACCCAAAAGCAGTCCCCGCAGGCAAGCTGTCACAACCAGACGTTCCCCACACCCTCAGTTCCACTTCGAGGATGGAGCCATCTGCTCGCCTGAGTGTGGGTAACACCTCACAGTCATCTGGGTTGTCCAAAATGGACAAGAGCTCAGCTGTGTCCTCACAGATCAGCAGGGCAGTGACAGACTCCAGGCTGAAGCCAGAGGCCCCAATGGCAAAGGGTAAGAGCCCTTAGCGTGGGTGGGTGGGGTCTCTGGTGAGGGTTTGTTGGGATCTGTGTTCTGTGGTGCCGTCCCATCTGGCTCTGGCCTGAGTCCTGGCTGCCCCTCCAGGGCTGTGTTCTGCATGTCTACAGTCTTGGGGTTCCTGGTCCTGCCCTCTTGCTTTCTGCAGCCCCACTTTGTACCCTTCCCTGGGCTCTTGTCCTTGCTTACTCTCCATGTGGCGGTGACAGTGTCCAGTGGTGGTCACCTTCTGCCCACTGCCCATCATATGCTCTTCCTTCCGGTGCCTGCCATCCAGCCCCCATGGTTTCTGTCCTTAGCTAGGTCCACTTGGCCCCTGTGTGGAGCCCCATTCATCTCCCCTGTGGTCCCTCCCAAGTCCACGGTCCTGCTGCCCGGCCCTAGCTGTGCCTCACTGCTCCTGGACTAAGTCCTTGTCTGTGAGCCTAGAGAGTTTTCACCTGGGAATCTGGGGTAAACCTTAGATGTGGCTCAGGGTTGACAGAGGGACTTGGATGATACATTGTGCAAACTTTTTCGGTTCTTTCTCTTTGGCTGAACCCCCACAGCAAAGCCTCTGTTGAATCTGAGTCTGCAGGGGGAGCCATGGGCCAGCCGTTCCTCTCCATGGGTGCGCAGAGGTCCATTCCTGAGGGCCAGTCTATTCCTGCTGGGTCCCATGTATTTAGCAGAAGGGGAGGCTGAGACCAGGGAGCAGGAGTGATTCCACTAGGAACACAGCAGAGGTGGCCCCGGGGATCTGAGGGGAGGGGGTGCCTGCAGGATGGGAGAACCCTGCTTTTCCCAGACAGCCCCTGCCTGGCATGGCCTCTCCTGATCCATCCCCTTGGTCCTGCCAGGTCCAAGCACCAGCCCCCAGCAAAGCCAAGAGGATGGGCCGGAAGGATGGAGGGCCCGCCTGAAGCCTGTGGAAAAGAAGCTGCTTGCTGGGAGGTGAGGGCCTGGCACACAGCATGTGTGCTGAGTGCTCCTGGGAGTGTGCTGGCAGGGTGGAACAGAGGCATGGCACAGCAGACGCTGGACCCCAGCAGGCAGGTGTCATGGTGTGGCATGGGGCTGGTGAGTGACACCAGCAGGGTGGCACAAAGGATGACATACTGGACATGGGGCAGTGGGTGGCACAGCCACTCTGGCCTGCAGCTCATGTATAAGAACACAGTGTGTCTCCCATACCTGGATCACATGGGATCTCCTGAGCCTGTGCCCACCTGGGTTCCCTGGGAATGGTGGCATTTAGAACACATGTGCATGGGGTGTAGACAGAGCCAGGGTTTTCTGTGAGACAGGTGACCCCGGTGCTGAGCCCTGTGACTCTCCTCGTATAGGGCCAACCTTGTGCCTTCACCCAGGGCAAAGGAGCTGAAAGAGCCACAGGTCCCAGCAGAGCCAAAGGCTGGAGATGCCCTCATGGCCCCCAGGGCCCCTGTGAAGGCCTCAGGCAGCCCCCAGGGGGGCATTCGGATCACCCTGACCCCTGTGCAGCCAGCACAGACACAAGGCCACACTGGCCCAGGAACCAGGCTCCCAGGTACTGCTGGGTGGGCTCCCCAGGATCCACATGCCCGTTGAGGTATGGTGTGTGTATTCAGGCATAGTGCACGTGTACATCCAGGTGTAGAGCATCTGTGGCACATGTGTATATGTGTTCATGCATGTGTACACATGTTCAGATGTGGAGTATGTGCATGGGTATATAGACATGTGTGCACACATGACCAGGTGCAGAATAGCACTGGATGCCGTGGAGCTCAATGTGTGCACTGGTGTGCAGATGTGTATGTGTTCAGGTGTGGAGCCTTGTGTGTGGACTCTGGCAGGTGTGTATATATGTGCACACATGTTCAGGTGCAGAGTATTGCATGTGTGTTCAGGCATGGGCACCTGTGTACATTTGTGGAGCTGTGGAATGTGCATGTGCTCACTCATGTGCGTTTGCATGGGGGGGGCCTCTGCGTGTGTTCATGCATGGGTACATATGTGTCCAGATGTGGATACACATGTGTCTGTGTGTGTTTGCCACTAGGTTCCCAGGTGCCCGCAATCTAGGTTCCCATCTAAGGTCATTGACCCTGTGGGACCCTTGCTGGGTGGACATAACCAGTTCAGATGGGTTATGGGGCCATACGTCTGGCCCCTATGTCCACTGGGGAGAGGGGTGGTACCCTCAGCTTTCCTGGGTCAGGGGAGGGCTCCAACCTGATGACCTGACATAGTGCTCTGTCCCCGACTGGGGGACAGCTGCCTCCCCTTCCTCCTATCCCCGCAGGAGACTGGCCATCCCTCCCACCCTTGATGTGTCTGCCAATTGGCTTCAGTCAGAGCCATCAGGGCAGAAAAACCAAGCCCAGAGCTGGGAGAAGCCTCATTCTCAGGACAATCCAGGTAAGCTCCAAAGATGTCTGTTTTTATTTGGAGTATGGATGAAGGATGCATCCTCTAAGATGTGAGCTGGGGCTTTGGAGGGTCTATAGGAGTCCATTGGACCCAGAATGGAGAGGGCCTGGAGGACCTAAGTCGGTCTGGTGATAGGATGGGAGCCCTGGTTGGAGACTCCACTTTCCTCCCCTCACCTTGTCATTGCTGCTTGGTGACAATGGAGTGTTCTCTTCTGGCAACCTGGGGGACTGGATGGCCAAGGGTGCAAGAGGGGTCTCTGGAGGGGTCCATGGAGCTTAGCCTGCTTCTTCTCTAGGGAGGCCCTTGGGTCCAGCCAGCATGCCTGCCTTGCCTGAGAAGACCATGAGCTCCCCTGTCAGGGTGAGTAGTCAGGGTGGCATGCAGGGGGGCTGGACCTTGGTCCTGGGCTCACCCTGCCCCCTGTCCCTAGCTGCACCCTGACTACGTCCCCCAAGAGGAGATTGAGAGGCAACTGCAGGACATCGAGAAGCAGCTGGACGCGCTGGAGCACAGGGGTGTTGCCCTGGAGCAGCAGCTGCGTGCAGCCGATGGCGGTGAGCACACGTGTGGCCTGGGATGCCCCGGGTCCGGGTCCCCCTGTGAGGTGTCGGAGTGACCTCAGCCTGACACCCTCCCCACCTGCGCCCCTCTCTGCAGCTGCTGAGGAGGACGACCTCATGGTGGCCTGGTTCCGGCTGGTCCACGAGAAGCAACTGCTGTTGAGGCTGGAGTCGGAGCTGATGTACAAGTGAGGCCCCGCCCAGAGCTTGGGGGTGGCAGAGGGGCAGCCGCTGCCCTGAGGGGCTCAGACCATTGTGTTCCTGCAGGTCCAAGACCCAGCGCCTGGAGGAACGGCAGCTGGACCTGGAGGGCGAGCTCCGCAGGCTAATGGCCAAGCCTGGTGCGTCCGTACCTCTGAGCCACAGGTCCAGGCCAGTCGGGGAGCAGAGCGGCCCTACCTGAGTGGGTTGTCCTGTGTCTCCAAGAGGCCAGTGGTGTACTCTTGTGGCTAAGCCAGCCAGGCCCAGCTATGAGCTTCAGCTCATTGACTTCATGGCAGTGTCTTCAGCTGTGTCCCTTAACCACTCTGTGCTTGGGTTTCACCCTGATGCTGTGTGTTGCAGTGTTACTCATGACCAACTTGATGCTATGGGCTTTAGTGCATGTGAGCCACACCGCAGGCCTTGGTGAGGGGTGTGTGTTCCACAGGGCAATTCCGTGTGTCCGTGCCCTCAGCTTTCCCCTGCCTGTCCTTGGTGTGGGACAGGGCCCTGCCTAGTACATGTCCCCATGCTGGCAGCCTTCCTGGAGGAGAAGGAGCCAAGACTCTTCTCCAGGCTGGGGTGGCTTCTGGTCCCTTCAGCTCAGTGTTGAGATCTTCCATGGAGCAGCCTGACCCTTAGGTGGTGGGTACATCAAGTCCCCAAGCAGTGTGTGGCTAAGGCCCCTGCTGAGGGCAGGATGTCCCCACAGAGGGTCTGAAGTCTCCCCAGGACCGGCGGCGAGAGCAGGAGCTGCTGAACCAGTATGTGAACACTGTGAATGACCGCAGCGACATTGTGGACATCCTGGATGAGGACCGACTCAGGTGAGGGTGTGCAGGGAAGGGCTGGGTGAGGGGCCAGGTGAGGGCAGGGCACCAGCCCCTCCCAGAAGGCCAGGACATTCAATACCTTCTCACCCACTTAGGAGGGAGGAGAGAGGCTACTAGCTGCGTCTCACAGGTGTCCCCTCCTTTCTTGGGCCTTGGACAGGCCTGGCCCAAACTGCTGTTCCCAGAGGTGGCCAGCTGGAGCACCCAGAGCTGGTCCTTCCTGCCCCTCCAGGGCTGGCCTGCTAGCAGCTTTCTGCCTGGATAGAAATGTTTCGTCTTCTGCACTGTCTGTGTGGTGGCCACTGTGGCTTTTGGGCATGTCGTGTGGCACCTGCAATTGAGGACCTGAGTCTACAATTTATTTTTAGCATAAATTTTTGTAGCCACACATGGCTACCGGCAGCTGCGCTGGGTCATGTGGCTTCTCAACACTCCCCAAAGACCTTTCTTGCCTTTTGTCTCACATCAGGCTGCACAGGGTCGGCAGCCAAGGCTAAGTGCAAGCTGAGCCTCTGGAAGCCTGAAGGGCCTTGGCCTGGGTCATCCTAGGTGTCCTGCTGGCCCCAGATCACTGGCATGGTAGCCCAGACCCCTGCCGTCCCTGGGCCTAGAGAGGGCAGGTGGCTATGGTGTCAAGTGGGGCTAGGGGTCCATTGTGAGGGGCCTGGGCCAGGGCCTGTGCCCTGTCCGGACCATGTGCCCTCACAGCCACCCCATCTCTGTTCCAGGGAAAAAGAGGAGGATCAGGTGCTACAGGACATGATCCAGAAGCTGGGTAGGGAAGAATGGGCCTGGCAGGTACAGGGAGGTGGGTTAGCAGGTCTCCCTCCAGCAGGGCAGGGCATGGGGACCTAGGCCCATGTAGGGAGCCAGAAGTGGTGGTGACTGGGGTAGGGCGGGGATTCCTGGTAGGCTTCGGGGCGGGCGCCATGGGCAGTGGCAGGCCCCGTGGCTCTGGGCCCAGCCCCTCTGGAGGACCCAGGCTGGGAAAGGCCCCACACAATCTCCCCTGCTCCTCTCTCCAGATATGCAGAAGAAAAAGCCCAAGTTCCGCTTGTCTAAGATCTGGGGCCAGAAGAGCAAAAGCTGCCATCCGGAGTGAGCTCTTCACTGATACTGCAGGACCCATGCAGCACCCTGTGGCCCCTCCCTGGAGTCTTCCTGGCCCCAATAAAGAGACTGACACTCCCTTCTGCTCTTTGTGCATTTCCTGTGGGTACTGGGGCCTGTGGTCCAGTCTTGTGCCCGGTGTAGATTTGCTTTGTGGCATTGGGCAAGTGCTGACCCTCTTTGGGCCTGGCCTTGGCTCACTAGGGAGCATTTAGCCACTTCCCAGGTGCCCAGAGGGCTTGTGGGAACCTCACCTGAGATGGGCTGGCCCTTGTGCAAAGTGGACTCAAGGTGGCCCCTTGGGGACATGGCATCTTTGTGGCCTGGAGTCCGAGATCTCAGGCCAGAGGACACCTGGGTGTCCCAAGCTGGACAGCGAAGGGGTGTCTGGCTAGAGAAACAGCAGGCCATGGTCTGGGAGCCCAGAAAAGCTCTTAGATGAAGGGAGTTGGCTGTTCCAACAGTTGCCAGGGTCTCGAGCCTACAGGGATACAGCCAGGTGTGGAGCCAGCCTCCTTCTAAAGGCCACCAGTGCCATCAAAGTACTGGATGGAGGCCCAGATCTCCTCATGTCAGGAGCAGAAAGCTGGGGTGAGACCCAGCAGCCTTGCTTGTCCTACTGTCCCTGTGTGTCCCTGGGCCTGTCACCCCAGCCTAACTTGCAGGGACCCGCGGCAGTGTGGCTCATTGGCCACCAGGGGGAGGCAGAGTGCCACACAGCAGGGCAGGGGGCAGCCTGGAGCACCCCAAAGCAGCTTCATTTTAGGGGATAATGAGAATGAGGTTCAGAGAGGTGATTCAACTCCTGGAAGTCACACAGCACATCAGATGCGGGCCTGAGGCAGACCTGAGTGGCCTGCTAGGCTCCTAGGCTGTGCCTGGCAGGGACTCTGGGAGCTCAGGTGGGGAGGCGTGGGAAGTAGATGAGGTTTCCGGGATAGGAAGGGAGGGAACACTGTTCAGTGCTGTCAGGTGGGCGTAGTTGCTGCCACATAAACCCAGCCCTGCATCTGCACCGAGTCTTCCAGGCAGGAGGTCTTCACTGTGTGCCAAGGGCCTGGCGCTTCTGCCCAAGGACACTTGGTAGAGGGGCCTAGGGTGCAGCTTTGGAGCACAGGAGCTGATTGGGTCCTGGATGGCCACTCAGCCTGCAGGCAGAGCAGGACAGACCTGGGGGACACTGTGTGAGCCGCCCCCGGGGACAGGTGGTACTGGCTTCACCTGCCCTACTTTTAGAAGCCAGGCAGTTCTCTCCCCAGGTGATGCAGATGTATTATGGGGAAGACAGAGGCCTCAGGGCCACAGAGACATCCTAGCTGGATGTTGCCAGGGCCACCTCTCCTGCATGTGCATATAGGAGGTACTCCATGTGTCTGGATTTTTCCACCCCTAGAAATGGCCTGGAGCCAGGTATGGTGTTGCATACCTATAATTCCAGCACTTGAGGGGCAGAGTCAGGAGGTTCTCTATGAATTTGAGGCCAGCCTGGCTGGACTACATAGTGAGATCCTGCCCCAGATACCCCTGACCCCCAAAAAAAGGTGGCGGGGGAGAGGAGCAAGAGGCTCAGAACAATGATATTCATGTGTGGAGGTGGGGTAGGGTCTCTCCTGTGTGGCTGCAGAGGGAGAAGCAAGGAGCTAAGGCGAGGGTGGGAAGTGACCATCAGGTCTGGACACAGGAGGTGGCCTTCCCCACAGGCTCTGGTAGAGGTCCCAGCCTCACTTCCCTTCATTGCTACCCCACCCCCTACTGTCACCACAGGGCCTTTGCACACGCAGCAGTGGCTACTCTCCACCTTCTTGTCCCTGTGTAAAAGCATCCTCCTGAGAGGCACCACAGCTGTCATATCCACTGTCACATGCTCACTTCACTCAGGAGCTGTCTTTTGGTTTTGGGGTGTCTGACAGTCTCTCCAGGGTTTGAGGCTTACCTGCTTCACAGAATGGTACCGGAGCTTAGCTTAGGGGCATTTGGGAGTGAGGGCTATGTGGTCCCCAAGTGGCCTCTACTTCACATGGAAAGGGGACAGGACTCAGTGGTGTCCACTGGGCCGTGGGAGGGCTCCTCCTGACTGGCAGAATCCCACACTTGCTGTGGCACCCAGGAGAGGCCTGGGGGAAGTGATTCCAGGACCTGGGACTTTAGGGAGCCTCTCAGAGCAGGGCTGCACCAGAGGGACACAGGGCTGGCACAGGAGCCTCTCAGCGTCTACTAGGCCTGACACCTCCAGGCTCCCTAATGTTTGTGGAGCCTGGAGCAAGCATAGAGCCACAGGTCACCCTGACTTCCCAGGGGCCCAGCCTTGCCCATGTAGATATGGTGGTCCTGGCCATGTGGACGCTCGCCCACACCTCCACTTGGGTCTGGATGAGTGCACACTAGAGCCCAGGAAGTCCCCCATGGGGATGTCAGGGTGTGTGCCAAGGGATCCAGAACCCTAGGACCTGGGGCGTGGTGTGCGAGGTGCGCCTGAGCTCTGATCACTCCTGACCCAGCAGGAGATGCAGCCATGGGACAGGCACTGTTCTTCCTGCAGGCCTGGCCCTTCCATGCGCTGCCTCTTGCTGCCCCCGCCCCACCCCTGGCAGCCTTGGCTCACTCTTGTGTCACTAACCTACTGCCCAGGCTCCTGGAGCCCTCCTGCCCTGGGTGTCCCCTGCTTCTGGGTCTCCTCCTGGAAGGGCCTTTGGCCAATCCTTTTTGATTTATTTTGAGCAGGATCTCTGAGTCACTGTATTGCCCAGTGGGTGGGTGCTGGGAGCCAACCTTGTGCCAGCCCACCTAGGGGTCTCCCCTTGGGCTGGTCTGTCACACCATGACATTGCTACTAAGGACTACCGGCCACTCCTGGCACCTGTACTGGTCCAATGCTTCATAGCGCACGTGAGGTGTAATCCAGTCTGAGCCACAACACTGTGGATATCTTATCTGATCACAGATTGAAATTACATCATAGGCCTTTTTTCTTCAGTTAAAAAGCTGAAACCTTTGTGTTTGTTCTTGCCTAATTGCGTAAAACTTTAATCAGTGCTTTTAACAACATTCTGTGTCCCTATGCGACATTTTTATTCTCCTTTATTTACAAGGGAGGCTGTCCAGGAAGGGACAGTTGGGTGAGTAGAGGTGTCCAGCCCTGGGCAGGTGCCCGTGAGATGTGCTCGCCTGTGTCCTCTGTGTATGACAGCAGCAATCCGAGGGCAGAGGAACATCGCTGGGGTTTGAGAATTCTTGGGATTGAACCCAGGGCTTCCACACTGAACTACACTTCCAATCCTTTTTGATTTATTTTGAGCAGGATCTCTGAGTCACTGTATTGCCCAGATGGGGCTTGACCTTGTGATCCTCCTGCCTCCGGCTTCCAGAGCGCTGGGATTAGAGCTCTGCTGCCACCGTGCCCGACTTCACCTCTTTTACTTTTTTGAATGGGGCCAGTAGGAACTTCTGTCACATTCGTGGCCCTGCGCTGGCAGTTGGTGGTGTACTTTGGTGGATGGGGTGACTCTGTCCACCTGGAACACTATGCCTGGTGTGAATGGAGCATCCATCTCATCTTCAGGGTGTCCCCAGGTGCCCATGGATGTGGGCATTGTCACCGGCCTGTTCACTCTTGTGTTCTCTCACCCCATTCCTGAGGCTCAACCTCCCATATCCCCGTCCTCTACTCCCCTGTCCCCTCTCAGCCACCTGTGGGTCTGGGCCATGGACCCCCATCTCCTTGCTGAGATTCCCCCTTGGTTGCCCATTTCTGTAAGGGTGACACTAAGTCCAGCTCCCCACCAACATCCCTGCCCTCCAGGTGCATGTGACTGCCCCAGGAAGGAACCCCTGCATCCTCATCATGGGGATAATTTGCCCTGTGGACACTTGCCAGTGATGTCATTAAAGGGCCATTGGCCAGTGTGCCCCCTTCCTCCCATTGTTCAGCCCTTTGTCCACCAGGACGGCTTCATGGACACTTCCTGTGTGCCAGGCTTCCTGCTGGGTGCCAAGACTCTAACCTCCAACAAGAGATCCATCCTCAGGGACTTTCGGGTGGGGAGACAATCAGGTACAAAGGGATGTGATCAGGAGCCCATGGGGACCTGCAGAGGGTGTGGGGGGAAGGGGGCAGCCACAGCCAATACAAAGGCCCTGGGGCTGAGTGAGGTCAGCATCTGCTAGCCGGGGAAAGGAGGAGGGAGGGACCCAGGTGGGGATGGGATCCTAATCTTACTCACAGCTGCTCTAGCCCAGCAGCCATGGGAGCCCCGTGCTCTCCTCCCAGGATTTAGTCATGGAGCCTTGCAGGGCTGTGGGATACACTGTTTACCTGTCTGTCTGTCTGTCCTACTGGGGATTGAGCCCAGGACGTTTACACTGAGCCACATCCCCAACACTTCTTGTGTTTTATTTTGAGACAGGACCTAAGTCACGAAGTGGCCCAGGCTGTCTCCAAACTGCAGTCCTTCTGCCTCAGGCTCCCAGTGTGCTGGGATCCCAGGTGTGCACCCTCCGCTTCTCCTCATGAGGACACTAGCCACCAGATGGGTCACTCACACCCAGGACAAGCTCATCGCCAAACCCTTGACAATGACTCCTGCAGAGACCTTGTTTCCAAAGCTCACAGCCAGAGGCTGCGGTGGGCAGTGCTCTGGTGGCATTGTTCAGCCCACCATGTATGTACAGTCCATGGCCCTCCAGGTCTCAGCCTCCTTTTGTCCCTCAGACGTGTGCCCTCTCTCAGTGCAGCACAGATCCAGCCCTCAGTGCAGGAGTCGGCTCCAGCCAGCATGGATCTCAGGGACCCCAGCCCGTCCTACTCCCCAAGTGGCTGCCACAACTCTGCCCAGAGCAACCTTCCTGGAAGCCCCAGGAAGCAGCCCACTAGCCAGCACCAGTGTATTTTCTGCTCCCAGCCTCCATGGAGTCCTGGTCCAGGACAGGAGCGGCTGAGCCTGCTTTAGCACAAGCCCATCCCAGTGACAGTCCCTGTCCAGAAAGGGAGGTGGGGCTTCAGCTGACTGGTCCCTTCAGCCCTCACTCCTTGGGGGCACAGCTGCTGCCGCAACCACACCCACACCTGGACAGCCCGTGTC